TTTAGCATATGAGTACAGAAATTCAGCCAAGCACGAAAAAAGTCAGTTGCAGTTATTTTTGGGACGGTACTTTGTTTTTTATATACTCCACTATTATATTTATAGATTCAAAAGAAATGACGTCTTATCTTCAAATTAGCACAGAGGACACAGAGCATAGGATTTTCAAAGTAGCCTAAGGAAACTGAGGACCTGGTTCTTTGTAGGCAGGAAAATTATATGCCAAGACTCTTTTGAACATGCCAGCATCAAGCGCCCATACGGGACCATTCTGTTACTTGATGTAGGTTTGCTCTAAGTGAGCCAGCTGACAACATTTTTGCAATACTAAGAGGTCTCATAGTATGGTGAAATATTTCATATCAATTTCTGTTTGTCATGAGAAAGAATGTGCCTTCTGGTTTTTGGGGGAGGGGTGGGGTGGTGGTGGTGGTGGTGGTTGGGTTTTTTTGTTTTTTCCTGGACAGCATTATGGGCCAAATGCTCAATCCTTTTATGTCAAAGGCAAAGTTTTATTTAAATGAGACCAGAATGCATGAGTATGTGCTAAATCGGATATTTTTTAAATGCATGCCACTTGAGGTCGCGGAAGAAAAAACATGCTCATAAACAGTTGTGATTTGTTTGAAGTCAGAGCACTTTTCTCTCTGTGGGTCTATTTATAGTTTCAGGATAAGAAATTCTTGTGCTTAGTAGCAGGAACTGATGAGTGAGACTTTCACATACTTAGAAGAAAAACATGAGTTGTAATATTCTGTTTCTTCAGCCTAAAGAAAATTCATGAGCCTTGTAGCTGGGATATAAAATTAATCCTGCTTACTTAGGAGGACCTTAATCACAGACTTGCAGTTTTCCACTTGAACTATGGTATCTGTAGTACCCAAAGGAGTCAATTCTCACAGAACATTTTTCATCTGGCTTTGTCTTCTTGTTAAAATAAATCTTTGATTTTGCCACTGACCATATTTTAATGTAATTTTTTTTGTATTTTTAATTTTTATTCTGTTGCTATATTAAGACCAGGAATACAAGTGGATTATTGTGAATCCTGACGTGTTCCCTTTTGCTGCTGGAGTCCAGTTCCGTACCATATTAGCAATCAGCTTCTATGCCAAAGCCAAGCAGTGACAGTTGCAATAATGAATATTTGCTGCAGGCCACTGGTATGAAAATAGCACAGTGCTGCAAGCCTGCGTCACCAGAAACAAATCCTCCATTTGACTGCGACTGAATTTCTAGCTCGATTTTAGATCATTTATTATTGAAATAGTTCTTAAAGCACTGTCATAACATAATGCTAAGAAATGCTGATTCAGTCTTCAAGGCATCAGTTCAAATGCCTTGCTACTCCTGTTTTGGTGGTGTTTTTTCTTTTCAATCCCTTATACCTTAAACGCTGTACCCTGTATTTAGGGCACTGAACTGTGTACAGGCAGCAACACTGTAATATATTCAGACACACATGCTGGTTAGGTTAGAAGAGGATTTGAATTCCCTCTTTGTAAGCTTACTTGACAGCTTTTAAAATGTTTTCTCCTTAATTCCTGCAGATAATTCTAAAGTTTATATGAGGAGGAGCAGCTTTTACATGGTGAACTTGGATGATGTTTTCTTGTATATGTTTTGATGTTGTTAATGCATTTGCATTAGTGGAATATATAATGTATAAATATAGGGCACCTTTTGAAAGTGTAGAATGTATGCACTGAATTTTGATATTTTTTTAGTTGAAGAATATGCTGATTACATTTACCACTTTTAGTTTAATTTTTATATGCAACGCTGCTTTTACGCATGCATATCAAAATACCCTCAAAAGGACTAACATAATTGATTCTTCTCACTTTAAAATTATTACATAGAGAAATATTAGATCAGCATAGATACAGGAGATCAGATATTTGAAGCAGAATAAAATCTGCAGTTATTTAAGTTGCTTTTTTGTTGTTCATTGCCTCAGGCTTTCCTATGGAAAATAAAGAAATGATGATCTATATTTTGCTTAGGGCAAAATACTGACCCTTGCACTGCAAAGCTGGTAATGGTGATTGATGTACATATCTAATTTCCTGCAAGATTAGAATGAGCACCAACCTTGCCATCAATCCTGAGAGAATGTTAATGTCTTCTTTTTACTTTTTACTTTTCCTTCCCTCTCCCTGGTGCCATCTGCCTTCCTTTTCACCAGGAAAGCACATTGGCTAGACCTGCTACTGTACAGTAGTACCAGGATGGAGAAACTGAAGTTTTAAAAGCAGTGTAATGTACTGCTGGGAGTGGGCTTCTGAGGAAATAATTTCACTGCAGCAACTTTCAAATGAAGGAAAGCCAACATGGACACGGATTCTTTGGGATGGGAAAGGAGTGACTAGATAAATGTATCATTTTGTGGACATAACTACAAAGGCTGCATGTACTCATCAGTTTCCCAACAAAAGACTTAATATTTCAAAATAGTATCTTTCTTTTGAAGCATTATTGTTGGTCTGTAAAAAAATAATAAATAAGAACAGAATGTTCAGCAAGGTCACACCATTCCTTCTGCACCAGTATTTGACAACCCCAGTGCCTTCAGGATATAACCACCTCCAGACTCACTCTCAGGAGAGAAAAATACTTTGATTAGACCTTGAGTGGGACCTCATTTTTTGCTATATTCTTTAATGCCTGGCAATATGTAGAATATTCACGTGACAAACTCTGCTTTCTTTGTTCTATGAATAATAATTTTTAAAAACCCTCTGGGAGAATGTATAGAAACATTACAAAATACACAATGTATAGAAATTAATAGGGCTTGAAGGGTCCTATTCCCACTGACTGAAAGGGGATCATACCCGGGTTGCTCCTGCAAATATTAGTTCAGCCAGTTCCAAGTCCTCCAGTAAGCAGTATTTCCAGATCTCTGGAGGTAGGCTATTTTCAGGCTTTACAAGCTTTAATATTAGAAAGAATGTCCTGATGTCTAATCTAAGTCTCTCTTGCTCTAATCCAGTAGTCCTTGTCCTATTAGGAGGGATCAGGGAGAAGAGTTTATTCTCTTATTTTTAGCTACCTTCTACAGATATGAAAAATGTTGTCAGTGTTTACCCTTCATCCTCTGTATTCACAGCCTATATTTTGTAAACCTCTGATGTGTTTTGGCTTCCTCCCTTGCAACCCCTCTCTTGTTGGTTTGCATTTGTATTGCTGCTGGATTAACAAAAAAGCAACTAATTGTTAATTTTTGACATTGCAGTCCCCAGGCTGGACACAGGGCTTCCAGTGCTGATTAGAGGAGAAAAAAATACTTCCTAAGTCTTTCACTTTGCACTTTAAATATAGTGGGGACCTTTTTCATAAGGCGATGTTATAAGACATCTGCGTTCATCTTGTTATCTGCTACTGAAATCTTTTTCTGAAAAAGCAAACCAACCAACCAACCCAAAATCAATCAATCAAACAAACAAACAAACAAAAAAAGCCCCAAAAGCAGTGCTGGGGCTGTTCTTCGTCCTGTTTTAATAGATCAGATTAATACTACTGACTGTGGATTCCTGCAGTTGCTTTTACTGAAAAGCATCTCATTTTCTAGCCTGTCTCCCCAATGTGTTAAAATTGTTTTGAATCATGTCTCCCAGCGTGTTTGCACTTGCTCCCAGTTTGCTGTTGACTTCTTAGTTAATAGGTGTGTTCATTATTAATGAAGTTGTTGAACAGTACTAGTCTGAAACACACCTCTGCAGCATGAGTTAGTTGTGTCCCTCCTGCATCACAGCACACACTGAGATCTATAAACCAAAGAATTGTTACTTTGCCTTTTCTAATACATGGCAATGAGTAAAGCCTGGTACAGGTAGAGCACCACTAACACCAAGGGATATACGAAACCAAAATGACCTGTCCATATTGGAAAGTACCCAGTTCCAGGAGTATCCCAGCAAAGTAACTAAGATTTCTTATGGGGGAAGCTGCTACTCAGTAGGCTTAATATGAGAAAACACAACACTGCAAAGGCAGAACAACTCCAGTCCCTTCTCTCCTTCCCCTGTCCCTTACTTGCCATCTTCTCCACTGGCTCAGTGCTGGATCTTACTGTCCTCTACCCTGCTAAATACTTAACTACCAAATGGTACTGCCGTGTCCGTATCCAAATGTCATGTATATATTATTCAAACCACAATAACATTGTGCTTTTTCTCTGTCTTGTATTTGAAAACTACAGAAAAAGCACAAGTTCTTAGATGGAAGCACTAGTTTCCAAATAGATTTAGCTATGTAACACGCTTACAGTTTTTCAATACATACCACTGATACCCAGCACAGAAATCTTATTAGTGTTTGTGTAGGTCTCAGATGTAAAGTGCTGTATATTTAATTACTATTATTAGTATGTATTGTTAGTGTGCAATAATGGATAATAATAATGCATGGATAAATGTATACTGTGTATTAATAATTACCTTCATTCATTTAATATTAGTTTTGGCTAATATCAAGTGAAGTATCAATTTAACATTTTATTTTATCAGATATCAAGAACATACAATTATTTTCATTTTATTTTTATTAGTACAGAATGTTAAAACTTTAGCTTGGCTACTCAATCAGCGTAAGTATTTTGCGGAACTATGCAGTTTGTGCATCTGAAGTGCTGCGTATAAACTTTAACTGCCTGCTGTACTGGTAATTTACACAACCTCGTTTTGTGGATTATCTTTCAGTTGTACAGTACAGTCTTAATGACCTGTCTTCTCAGTTTATGAATTCTGGATTTACTGGGTGTTAGCAGAATAGGAGACAGAATGCATGGCATTCCACTACATGGCAGTACTGTATTTTGTAACCACACAAAATACAAAGAATAAGGTCAGATTTAGTTCGTTACCATTAGTCAAACCATCACCAGCACGATCTGGCTCTCTGTGTGGCTACAGCATCAAGATGCAAACAAGCAAATGCCAAAGGTCACAACCTTTTTTTTTTGTTTGTTTGTTTCCATCTCCTCTCTTTGCCCACAGATGTTACCACAGGGACACCAGCAATATCAACGACGACAACCGTGGAAATACGGAAGAGCAGTGTTATGACAACTGAGATCACCTCTAAAGTGGAGAAAATCCCCACGACAGCCACTAGCAGCACCACATGCCCTTCCGTTGAGACTGAGGAAGAAAAAGCAAAAAGACTGCTGTACTGTTCACTATGCAAAGTCGCTGTCAACTCTGCCTCGCAGCTGGAGGCGCACAACAGTGGTGAGACGGAGCGGTGCTTGCTTTCTTCCTTTTTTTCCTTCTGTCTCAAGAGCTCTGCAATTTTCTTCCCCTGAATAGATTAGATCTCTTGCAGCAGGGGACAAAGAGGTGGCAGAAAACTGGCAATTACATGGAATTCATTAACTACTAAAGAATAAAAATGACAGGCAAAGAGGCTTTCATAAAAGGGGAAGAAAGGAATTTTATTGCATGCAAGTTAACCACTTTCTTACATTTTAGTTTTCGTGGCTTCCAAACCTTATAGAGCTAAATGACATGCTTCATTACCTTTGGTGTTCAGAGTTTGCATACTTTTGTTTGTGCCAGCTAGCAAACTGAGTATGAATGCCATTAGTTTTGTTTGAAATCTAACAAATTAAGGCTGAAAGAGTCAGAGTTCAATGATGAGAGTTAGAATTCTTAGCTCCATATTGTCTGTTAATAACTTGTTAAAATTATGTATATTTTTCCTCTGTTTTCATCAGCTGATATCAACTGCTGCATGAGAGTTGAATGGGTTATTCCTTACCTCCATCTTTCTTAATTTTTAAGCCTTTTCTTGTTATGAGAGCTAGCAGCATCGATAAGTTCCAGTAGTAGAGAGCCATCATTCACAGTCACTATTTTAAGCATCTTATTGATTGGCTTTGTGGCGAGCAGGGTTAAAAGATCTTGGGATTTAATGCAGTGGCAATGACCACCTGTAACAGACCTACAGAAAACCTCCTGATTTTGGATGTCAGGGGTTACCTGCCAGCAGGGTAAACAGAGGTTTGAAACAGAGAGACAGTGATGATACCTGCAGCAAGATGATCAATGGTTTTTAAATGATAATTTGTTGGTATTCATGAGAAACAAAGCCTAATCAGTTCTGAATGCTGTGTTTGCTGTATGCCAGATATTCAACTGGTGAAAATTCAAGTTCATAAAGCTGTACCCATTTAACCTATTTAACTTCATATGAGGGCTAGACTCATTTTAGAGTTAAAAAATGTTATGTACTCGTGTTAGAACATTTTTCTGATCAAGATGAGAGCCAAAACATTATTCTGAATATTTAAAAACAATGCTCCAAGTTTTTGCTGTCTGTGCTGATAAACTGTGTGTGTGCTCACACACATGTGTACTTGTAAAAGTATACATGTGGATACATACAATTACCAGTGCATACTAATTCTGTACATGGAAGTAAGCCATTATCATCACAGACTACCTGCGTGGAAGTCAACAGTGTAAGGAATTGTTTGGTCTGAATGAAGGTAAAGCAACTGCACGCTATTTTTTTCTCTACAAACTTTATTTTAAAAAAAAAAAAAAAGTGTTTTTTTTCTCACATGTATGTTTCTCACATGTTTTGGTTTCTGTCCAGGCCATTAAGGATCCATAGGTTGCTGCCAGGAACCTACACCCCTTTTTGACTTGGAGACTAATTAGTTAATTACATATTTAAGTGTAAGCTAATAATGCATACTATTTGTCAATCCATTTAGGAGGACTACAAATCAAAGCCAACTACATCTTTAATAGCTAAATTACTTTTCCTTTGCAACTACAATTCAGGTCTTATTAGCAGCAGGAGTTAATGAGAAAAGTCACACCCATTTAACTTCACATCAGGATACCTGATTGTGCCACTACTTACTGGTGTGGCTGCTTTGTTCTAGTGCATTACCTGCAGATATGTAATTTAATAATTAATTATCAGATGTGAAATATTGTTACATTGGTATGAATCTGGTACAGACAAACACAGGCATATTCCAAGGATAGCACGTGGCACCAAGCTGAGGTTCATGTGATTTTCTTTTAAAAAGAAAAAAACCCAATGAATGCAACCAAATTTCCAAAGTTGTTTCTGTTTCCCATTTCTAATGTCTCCAGGGACTAAGCACAAAACTATGCTGGAAGCTCGGAATGGAAGTGGAACCATAAAAGCCTTTCCCCGGGCAGGCGTAAAAGGCAAAGGACCTGTGAATAAAGGAAACACAGGCCTTCAGAACAAAACATTTCACTGTGAAATATGTGATGTGCACGTAAACTCTGAGACACAACTGAAACAGGTACTCAGCTAGCTTGCAGAGTGTGAATCCTTGGCTGTTCTTTGTTTTCATGGTGATAAAGTACCAACACAATCAGCATCTGTCAGTCTAACCGTCCACATCCAAATGGAGCTTACAGATTTTGCCCTTTGTACTTGTCTTTCATGCTGTATGTTTTGGTTTGGATATGATTTTTCCCTTGCACGGAATATATTTTCTCGAAAACTCTTGATTATATGTGTGACGTTACAACTGTCTTTAGGCTACTATAATTGTCATGAGCTAATAAATCCTGCCATGTACTGCATGATATTTGCCTTGACAAAGATGTGGAGGTGGGTGCAGCCAGTGTTTTCACAAAACACTGAATAACCTGCTTAGAATTGTGGGATGGAGAGGATTTGTAATTTTTTTTTTTAATCAGCGTTACTTTGTAACTGAGAAGCATGACCTCTAAATTGCAATTACACCAAGTTATGTTCAGTCATTCTTCAGATGAACAAAGCCTTTGTTCTGAAAAACACTTTGTTTAATTCCATGTGCCTTTTAGAATTAAATACTTGTTAAGGAACTTTACATGAATGAAGATAAATTCTGTAATGGACAATAGCAGTACTTGTCTTCTGCTTTCAGGAAAAAAAATGTCCAGTTCTTTGTCTTTTTTTTTGCAAGAACTCTCTTGTGAATGAAAATCAAAGTATAAATATAGTTCTGAAAAAGGTCCCTTGTATCTAATACTGCAATAAAGTCTGTGTAGAAGGATTCTTGTAAAAACTCATAGGTTTTATGAAGAAGATAATGGATTTTGCGGGGGTTTTTAACTGTCACTTAGTTTGATATGTAACCATCTTTCAGCTGAAAGCTTAAAAGGATGTCTAGGCTTCTTAGGGATTTAAACAATTTGGTGACCTTTTCCCCCTCACCCCACCCCTGAACAGGGGATGCTCTACGATCTAATATTCTTCCAAAACTTTCTTCTATCAGCAGTGGATTGAGTTGGGTGGGTGGTGAGATAGGGAAGAATTTTTCAAAGGCTTCTATCTTTAACTTGATTCAGGTCCTGTTGAAGTTAACAAAGGTGAGAAAATCATTGACTACAGTGGAAGCAGAGTTGAACTGAGCACTGTGGAAAATCACAGTCCCAATATGTGATGCACAAAGAATCATTCAAATTGGAACAGACCCTATTCCCATTAGTTACTGAATTATTCAAAGTAATGCTGTTGTGGAGAGCCGTAGCCACCAGTATTGGAGCACCCTTGTGTAAAGCAGAACCTGAAATGATCTATTAAGGAAATATCACTCTTCTTTTCTTTTTTTTTTTTTTTTTTCCCCAAATGTATTTTAACAGCACATAAGCAGTAGAAGGCACAAAGACAGAGCTGCTGGGAAGCCACCTAAACCTAAATACAGTCCATACAACAAACTCCAAAAGGGAACACATCCTCTAGGGGTAAGCCAATCAGCTTTCTATTTTACTTTTATTTTAATCCTGCTGAGTATGGTCTTTATAAAACACAAGTGGAAAAACGCTTAAAATGAGAGGGATAGTGTAAGCAATGGGAGTATACAAGTGTCTGGATGAGCCCGTGGAAGCCCACAAGGGACTTTTTATATGCTTTGATGGGTGTGGACTGCAACCCATGGGGCCTCGTTTTTTGTAGCTACTCTGAATAACCTCAGAAAAGAAGCTTGTTTCAAAGGTCACTAGAGAGCAACAGACGAAAGAAACATCCAGATGTCAAACAGGATTATTCCAGTTTTCACCAAGGACAATAGTGATGAAATGACTAAATAAAACATAAAACCTTTATTCTATCCTTATTTAGAAAATTATTCAGATAACAATTGAAAGAACTAAAAAAATCCCTCTCTCATTTCATTCCACTCAGATTCAGGATGGTTCTGGTCACATTTTTGACTGCCAGGGTAAACTGTCTGAAACACAGTTCTTACTAGCTTCAAAAGCTGAGAAAAAGGTTTACTTTTTAAATAGGATCCTGCCATTAGTTAAGAAACAGCTTATATTGTGGGTGGGGTAGTGAAACAGCTGACATTTATCTCCATCAGATGAGCTGCATGATTTTTTTTATGTGCCATGGTGTTTTGTAAGGGTTTATAGACAGTTTTGACAGGGGGAGGATGTTGTTTCATGGGCCTCATAGAGATTATCCTCTTTTTCCTTGATCATCTTCTCTAATGCAGGCAGAATATGGAGCTTTTTTCTGTGAAAACCCAGTTTAAGTTGAGTTAAAGCTCTTTTCCTGACAACAGAAAAGTGTGTCCTTGTTGGGGCAGCCCTCTTGATAAGTATATTCTTGCATGATTCAGTTGGGTAGGAGCTTCCCTCGATGTTGTAGCATAATGCAGTGCACCATTCTGGCAGATCCACAAGTATGGAAATAGCCCCATAGGGTTTTTCAGTAATCCACCAGGAAGACCAGGGTCTCCAATGCGTATACATACTGAAAGGAATAGAAAATATGTAATTAGGTAAGTAGGATATGGAATCACTAAAGCCTCTCTGACAGGATTATTATTCCTTTAGGAAATTCATTGTTTCCCAGGGGATGAAAATAACTATTACATTACTCTTTCTGTTGTGCACAGTTCTCTGTTTGCCAATTTACGTAATGGTGATTTCTGAGAGCTGCAGCCAAGGAATCAAGGCCATTTAGTTGCTGCATAGACAAATAAAGGCAAGGTGACCTTTTCCTGCTCCCTCACTCCCAATTGCTTACAATATTCAAGTCAGGGCAGAGGTGAGCAAAGAGGCAAAGGGGGGTTAAGAAGGAGTAGAACAGAGGCTACACTGAGAAAGGATAAGAGCACTTCTCCATTTAGTCTTTTTGGGTTTGAATAGGAGAAAATACCAAAATTGCTGTCACTCGAAATGCAAAATGGCATAGCAACAAGCCAAAGATGTGCTAATTTTACTTCGAATGCAAATGGTTTTGATGAGCTGTAGACTTTTTCTTTACTCTCCGTTAATTTTTCATGTCATTTACTGTCCCTTAGTTTACTTCATTGGAAAGGAAAGGAATAATGGCTACTTTACTCTCAATGTTGACCTGTGTGTTAATTAGTAGTTGCAGAGAGGTTTGAAGTGAAGGTGCAAAGTACTGTATATACTAAATATTACTGGTTTTGCAGCTATCTTGAAATCAGAACCATGTTGATAAATTAACTGAAAAGCTATCTAACTTCATTAGAAGTTCCTGATTCCTCCAAGAATGGTAAGATCACAGTATCACAGAATAACAGTTAATATAAAGTCACATAAGATCTTTGTTCTTTGTGACAAAAAGGGTATGAGCATCAGCAAAGATTTTTCTACAGAAGTTAGAAAGAGGGCATACTACATTTTCGTAGCTTTTCTAGACCAAAAACATTCCAATGCCATGTTTCCAATATCATTTGTACTGCTTTTTCTGGTCTAGTTTTGCATGCTACAGAGAAAGAAGTTTTATGAATTCCCACACTACTATTTCAGAGTTTAAGAAATATTGTAATGTCGGGACTTGCTTGATATTTCTTCAAGCCACAAATGTCCAGCATGTATAAAATACTACACTGGAGAGAAAGAGGTCATCAGGCATTTGATAGTCCAAACTTTCCACAATAAAACAGCTCTCACGATAAACATTCTTTATTGGGAATTCTAGACCACAATCAGAGCCCTGTTGTTTTGAGCTGGGGTTTTTTTGTACTTTAAACTCAGGAAAATTTTTTTTTAGAGAGAGGGGTTTTTTTCTTGTCTGTTCTAAACAAGGGTGAAAAAAAGTATTTACTAAAAAATGTAAGGAAGGAGGATAAAGTCAAATGCTCAGCAAGGGAAGAAGACAGCTTGGATCAGTGGGTGTTACACTGATCAAGGAAAAGATCTGATCATTGCTTTCCATAGGCACCATGAGAAATTTTGTATGTAGCATCCATTATGACCTCCATTAAGAGAATTACAGAATCTGGTCCCCTCTGAGTATCTGTCCTAGAGCTTTAAAGGACCTTGAGGCCAGCAGAGTTGACAATGGGTATTAGGAAAAGTCAAAATCCTGTATCCGTCTGGCTGGTAAAGAACCAGTTTTTTTGGAATATGATGATAGTTTAATGATGAAACCCGCTGGTGGTTCATGCCAGACTACTCCTGTCCTTACTTTCTGACTATTGACTCGCCAAGGTACTGTTGAGTGGAAAGTATTCGAGTAATATAATGCAAATTAAATATTTGAAAGCCCCTTTCAATTCAAGGATGAGAAACTGTGTTTCCCTGTGAGTGAGAAATGTCTGTACTTACACCGAGATGTACCACAGCATGGTACATATATTCATATTCTGTATATTCAGTACCACATATTCAGGTTTATTTTCTTTGCAAAAGGCCTTGGGTCATGCCAGGGCACAGACCCACTGAAAGTCCATCAGAGCCAATGGGAACTTTTCTTTGTCACTAGATGAGGTTTCTATTCTTATCTCAGAGTTATAAAACCAGGACAACAAAGGTATTCAGGCTCCTGGCTTCTCATTAGAAACTTGAAATCGCACTGAAGACTGCAGAAACTATATGGACTACTCTGATGTTCATTTGTATGCATACCAAATGTAAATTCTCTTAAATAATAATGGACCTCTGTGAATATTTTCAATCAGTCTGGGAAAAGCTTGAGCTTATTTTTTTGTCTTTTTGGAAACTCTAAATGAGGAGTTTTCCAAATTGTTTTTATTATTAGAGGCAGGAGCTAATAAAGAGGAGCTAGCTGGAGATCTTAATTTTAAGTACAGCTTGCATCCTAGTGATAAAAACAAAAGTACCTTGTTAGTCAGACCAGGGAATAGGATATATTTTTATTCTACTCAGTCATAAAGCTGTCTACACGGAGGTCTTTTAATTGATGGCTGATTCTTCCTTATTTAATTCTTGAAGGGTACATGCAGCTTTACTTTGGTGCAGATTGCCCAGCCCCTTTTTAGGTTTGCTTTGATTTCTAATCTCATATTAAATTATAAGTCTCTGTGATAAGGCATGAGCCCACAACAAAGAGGACACTGAAGCTCTTTGTCCCTGACCAAATCCCGCTCACCCTTGTCCAATGCGTGAGATCGTATTGCCTGTCATGACCCCACAGCTCACAGAGTCAGTAGCCACTACGAGGCCTCTCTTTCTTGATTCTGCACTTATAATCTTAAGTCAAGCTCCCTGTCGTGTAGCTAATATGAACAAATTATGTCTCTCTGTTTGTTTGTTTTCTCTCTTCCCCACAGGTAAAATTAGTATTTTCAAAGGAACCTTCAAAGCCGATGGCTCCACGAATCTTACCAAATCCGCTAGCAGCTGCAGCAGCAGCTGCTGCTGTGGCTGTGAATTCCCCCTTCAGTCTTCGTGCAGCCCCAGCAGCCACCCTTTTCCAGACTTCAGCACTTCCTCCAGCACTCCTACGACCAGCTCCAGGGCCTATACGGACCACCCATACTCCCGTGCTGTTTGCTCCTTACTGAACTCCAAACAGGAATTAATTGTACTGCAATAATTTTTCAAATCAAAACAAACAAACAAAAAAGAAAATCAAGAACATTGAACTATGCAGTGTTTATTTATAGTTTAAAGTATATATGAAGAGCCAGGACTTTTGATAGAGAACTGAACAAATTCTAAAAGGAGGAATGGGCAGTATTTTCTCCAGATGAGAACATTCCTCTTGGGTATTGATCGTTTTAGAACTGATCTCCAGCATTGACTTGTAGTGACATATAAAACTTATGAAGCCTTTTGACTGTGCTTTTTGGCACATATTTCCCTGCAATGTCTTTCCTGCTTTATGAAACAACTTACAAATTTGTCTAAAGGGCATTAACTGGTTCCAATGTATATAAAATACTTTATTCTGTAGATTAAAGAAGAAGGAAAAAAAAAGAAACACTGTGAATAGTAGTACCCTTACCAATCCTCCTGCCAAATCAGCAGTTACTGGGTATTTATCTGAACAAAAGTAGATACAATAGATGTCTTGTAAAACAGTAGTATTGTGTCTCTATCTATGCCACTAGGTTTCTAACTGAGTTGCAAAGATAAAATTAACAAATTATGTCACTTTGGTAAGTAGTCAAAATGACGACAATAATGTGGAGCTGTTCCTGGTGAGCAAAAATTGTTTTCCTCACCCGTAGAAGAATGGGCATGAAGATAATCTATGTTCAGGAAAAAGTAAATGATAAAGAAAATGTAGCGGGGGAAAAAAATCCAGATGCTGTACACAGAATAGGTTAAACTTTTATTTGATTGAGAACTTATGTGTACAGTGTGCATATTCGAAAGGTGTGATACATATAGGATAGATCAATGTCTAAGGCATGCCAGTGGACAGCAAAAAATACACTCTTGTCATGAAACAGGCCTGAACACTTCAGTGTTGAGCAGAGGGAAGACACAAATGGATTACGCATAGTCATAACTAGGAAATGAAAAGCAGGAGAGAAATCCTGGCCCCATTTAAGTCAGTGTAAAGTTCCTCCTGACTGCAATGTAGCCAGAATTTCATCCCAAGAATGGCACATATTCTTTTTATATCATACCAGTGGGAGTGTCTGTAGACACAGGTAACATTTTTTGCAATAGGCTTAGTCTTAGAAACAGATTTATTCTCGTTTTATTTCCTACTGATGTGATATAAAACGTCTTAATATACCTACGAAATGTAAACAGCAACACATGAGATACATATTACAAGATAACTGCACATCGTGGGTTTGGAACAAATACAACCTTTAGGATCTGAAGGGACCCTTGAATTCTGTGGCTGATCTTTATGTACGGACAGCTTAAAGCCTTATATATTTACTGTGAGGCTTAAAGGGGTGGACTGTGTCCCTTTAAAGTAAGATTTATCAGGGGTATATATAGATATATTGTATATATGTTAGAGTAAGAAAAATAACTTATAAACAGAAAAATCTACTATATAAAATAATTATATAACCATTGAGTTTCACATGTGGGTCATTAAGTGGTAAGTAACAAACAGCAGAGAAAAAAAATAGACTTCTTGAATCTGATTCTTGCTGCCTGCTTTTTCCCATAGGGAGCTGAAAAGTATCTATTAATATTATGGAGTGCGCTGCTGAGTCACATGCGACCACTCTGACGTGTAGCTAAGTGAAATGCCTACCATACATTTAGAGGAATAAAATTTAAAAACATAATTTAAGTTTAGATGGGGAAATTATTTGAAAGATTTTATTACAAGGTATAATGCAAAATATTGACCATGTGGTTGCTATATAATACTGCCTGTGGTTAATATGGACAGTTGGGAGATACAGAAGATGGGAATATACAGCACTTTTGACTTGCAGTTCATCAGTGAGCCTTCCATATACATAGGTATTTGCCATTTTTTAAACCTCTCTGCATTTAGATTTTATAAAAAAATATATAAAAAGAGAGAAAGAAGAGGTTCCATGGATGTCTGTGTCCAAAGAATTCCAAAGAGATGCATTTATTTATCTAGAAGTATTAAAATAAGTTCTATATTATGTATTTCATCCAGTTTATTTGCAAACGTTTGTGCCTTGAAATGATATGGGTTTTGGTTATATTTAATTCACTCCTATGTAGCCATGAAGAAGATGCGATGGTGATTTCAGGGCTGGTTACTAGCAGGATTGCTTTGGTCCAACTTCCAAAACAAGAAGAGTATAAGTAAGTTCCTGAAGCCAAGTTTAGGCACCTAAATAACTAGGGGCTGACACTTAAAAGGGCTCCCTATTCTACAGCTCCCGGTAAAGAGGCAGTAAACAGGTCAGCCTTCATAACCTGCGCCTAATGCTCAATTTAGAAAATGTTTCCTATTTTTGGGGTATAAACTCCTCTTTGCAAAACCTTGGCCTTGGTCTTTTAAGCCTGCTTTCAATATTCTGTCTTTTTGCAGAAGTTGTAGTGCCATTGCCAGCTGTGTTCAGATTCCTCCTTGAATAGAGCACTGGTTTTCAAGCTCTGCTCCTTGAACCACCATTTATCTCCAGAGCCTTCTGTAATACCCTGTGTAAGTAAGAGCTTGCTAAACGAGCGGAAGAGGACTGGTGTTTTGGGAAGGGAGAAGGTCTGGGCAGACAATCTTTTCCCAAAGAAAAAACATGCAGCTGGGAAAAGGGGAGACCCACAAATACCCTGTAGGCTCTTATGCACGGCCTTCTGGTGCACGGACACCTGCTGTACATCCTGCCATGTTGTTGTGATGCCATCAAAATCAACAGGCTGATCCTTGTCAAAATGTGGCCTGTGGCATGTATGGAGGCACAGTACTAAGGGCAGAGTTAATACAAGTTTTGCTAGAAATAAAGTGTCATTCCAACTACTTACATCAGCTAATTTGCGATGACACCTTCAGTTTTCTTGGACCTCTTTTGTCACAGTGCTCTATGGAACAAGTTTTTGTTCACACAAGTCTCTTAAATTTCAGCTGTAAACAACAAACTCAGTTCTTTTTATGTCTCTTACTCACTACCTAATAAAGGATAAAGCCTAAATGTTAGAATGTATAGTGCATTTTCTGTGCCTTGCTGTTCCACCCCCATCGTGGTCAGTAACAAGTCAACCTACCCAGGATGTCAGCACAACAGTTTTATTTTTTATATATATATATATATGTATGTCAAGGAAAATACTGGCACAGCAAACTGACTGGACAAGGGGAGTTTCCAGTCAAGGGTATGTCCACAGCAGCTGACAAAGGAGCTAGCAAACAGAAGACTCTTTACACCTACTTGTCAATACATCCAATATGGAGAGCACTATAAAAGAAAAATGTGTCATCATATTTCATATCACAGTAACACTCCAGGGCCAAGAGGAGGCCTAAAGCACAAGGAAACAGATCATTTCATCAAAGGCATAGTCACTCATTGGATAAACAATGTGAAGTCAGCCTGCAGGGAAATGGCTGGGTATAAACTGGGAAAAACAAATAGGTTCAGGGATGTTTTCTTAAATTCCATCCAGACTGTTAAAGAATGACTATTCTGTTCTGACCCGAAGAGATGGTATTTTTGTGGGAGGGATATATATATATATGTGTGTGTGTATATATATATATATTTTTTTTTACACTATCTGCATTTTTCCAACTACCTCTGGCTTCAAACCTTTGTTCTGAAGGATCAGCATTGCTCTGAACCATGAAATCAGTTACCTTCTTGAAAGCTGCTGTAAAAGCTGATGTGAGAGCTCAGTAAGAAAATGGTATAAATATGATGATCTAAAATGAAAAAAAAAAATGAACTGGCCATGTAAAGGAATATTGTATTTGAAAAGTATACATCTTTATTTTAAGATAAATTAAAGTTATATAAAATTAAGAATAGCTAAATAAAGTTTAATATAACTAGAAGAATTACATCTGTCATTTTAGTAGTGGAGTATTACAATTGGCTCTGTATTTTAAAAGATGAAAAGACTTTTTAGAAGCTCAGTCAATGCAAAGATGCTACGGGTAAAATGAATGTCTCACACTCATCATCTTGCAGTTACACCAGGAATACCATAACTGAATGGACCTGCCCGTAGTCACTTCTAGTCCAATCCCCAAGGATACAGTATGGTATTGGCCCGATATTCCTTGAAAGCTGAAATCGAGCTTCTTAGGAGCCCCTGCTTCTGCCTTATGCTCCCAGTAAACGCATAATTTTTAGAGTCTCTTCAAAGCATCTTGGGGAAATTCTATCTTAATATCTCTAATTTTTTGCAAAAATAAATGTCATTTTATGAACATAAGACCAACACTGAGGAGCAAGACCTGAAAAGATTTCTTCACGATTACAACATTCTTGTGGCTAAATATGAAGCACAGATACCCAAATTGTTGGGCTGCACAAATCTCCCTGAAAACATGTGAAATCAGAAGCCTAAACCACTTTATAAGGAATCTGTTCTTTTTATTAACACAGGTGTGTGAATTCCCATTTTTAAAATTGACTTCAGCACAGTTCAGGCTTCAGGGCTCTAAGCACCGAAAGCTCACAAGAAAATAACTGTGGGCTTCCTATTTGCCTAGATGCATGTGAAAATGTGAGCCTATGCTATGTAAAATATTACAGATTTTTTTTTACATCACATCTTCCCCTGTTCTCATTGTTTATCTGTAAGTGCCATTACTTCAGTGTCAGTCAAGCATACAGAAGCTTCTGTGCTGGGATTCAGTGCGTGACTGAGAAAAATAGTAATACTAATAAATCCTGTCTTAAACTAGTTGAAATCTCAGACACACAGTAAGGGTTTAGCCAAGGAAAAGAGCTTTATGTCCTCTCACACCTACAGGTTTATTAAAATTCAGGACCATTTAGGAGTAAATTTAACTATCTGGAGGGTGGTTATTTCATAGCCTGATCTGAAATGTCAGGGGCTGAAAAAGTCTGTGCTCTAGAACAAAATTAAGAATACTGTGAAAACCATAATGCTCTTAACCCTGGGACTCCTAAAAGCAGTTGCAAAGATCTTTGACTTC